AACTGCAATCTTTTTGCCAAGAGTTGTCACTCTGGTAATAGCATATGATATGATTGTAATTTACTCATTTTCTTCTCATGTCTCCTAGTCCCCTGAATGCTAACATCTTAGCAGTAAGTGGTCATCTTGGTGGTATGATTTTTTAACTGCTTAGAACCTGAAATGGCACCATTAGTCAATGACTGATGTTTTTGTACATTTTAATGGTATAGTTTTCTAGAATCAAGAAGAGACTCTGCTTGGATTATGATAAGCTTTCATTTTGAGAATTTTAGGTTCCACTGATTTTCTACTAAAACTTTACTGCCAAGGAAGGAAAAAGACAATGCTGAGTGAATGTGAAAATTTGCCCTCTCTTTTTAGACTCTAAAAGTGGAGCTATAAGCTGTATTTTTAGAGGAAAACAGGAAAGGAAACTTGCTTAATCTGGATCCATTGTGTGTCAGAAACTGTGCTAGTCCTTATGTTGTAGTAGAAGGGGCCTAGGCTTCGAGGCTTTATCATTCAGTCCATACCTGTAGGTAAATTATTGTTGATGTCTTTGCTCATCAGTTTTATAATTTGTAAAGGGTAAATTATAATTTTTTTATTTACTATATTGTGAGTAAGGTGATGTGTAGTGAGAAATCAATAAAGTTCCACTCTCTTTTTATATGGTAGAAAAAATAACATTGTAATTCAATATTTTGAGTAAGGTCAACTTACAGAAGGTTACTACCAGTGAAGTAGAATGTTGCTAGCTGTGGATGAATTTTTTTTAATTTACGTATTGACATGTAACATTATGTTAGTTTCAGATTTACAACATAATTCAGTATTTTGTATACATTGCAAAATGTTTACTTCAATAAGTCTGCTTAACATCCATCACCATATATAGTTAATTTTTTTCTTGTGATGGGAACTTTTAAGATTTACTCTTTTAGTACTTTCAAATATGCAACACAATATTATTAACTATAGCCACTATACTGTGCATTATGTCCCCTTGACTTATTTATTTTACAACTGAAAGTATGTAAGTTTTGTCATCTAGTACCCATTTCGACCACCCTGAAACCTCCACCAACCACCAGTCTGTTCTCTATATCTGTGAACTTGTTTTCTCTTTTTTCCATTTGTTTATTTCTTTTATATCCCACCTGTAAGTGAGATTATGTGGTATTTGTTTTCCTCTGTCTGACTTATTTCCCTTAGCATAATGCCCTCAAGGTCCATCCATGTTGTTGCTGATGTCAAGATTTCATTCCTTTAGTGGCTGAATAATATTCCATTGTGTGTATGTATGCCACATTTTCTGTATCCATTTATCTACAGATGGACTTTCAGGTTGTTTCCAGATCATGGTTATTATAAATAATGCTGCAGTGAATATGTGGATTCATATTGAGTATATCTTTTTGAGTTACTGTTTTTGTTTTCTTTGGATAAATACCCCAAAGTGGACTTGCTGAATTATTGTTGTTGTTCAGTCACTAAGTTGTGTCTGACCCTTTGTGACCCCATGGACTGCAGCACACCAGGCTTCCCTGTCTTTCACTATCTGGATTATATATAGTTCTAATTTTACTATTTTGAGGAACCTCCACACTGTTTTACATAGTGACTGTACTGATTTACTTTTCCACCAGCAGTGCATAAGGGTTCTTTTTATCCCCTTATTCTGACCAACACTTGTTATCTCTTATCTTTTTGATAATAGCCATTCTAGCAAGTCTGAGTTGATGTCTCACTGTGGTTTTTATTTGCATTTTCCTCATTAGTTGTGTTGAGGGTCTTTTCTTGTATCTGCTGGCCATCTGTATGACTTCTTTGAAAAAACTCGTATTGACATCTGTCTGTTTTTTACGAATTAGTTTTTGTTCTTGTTTTTGTTTTTGCTATTAAGTTGTATGAATTCTTCATACACTATTTTGGATATTAACTCCTTATCAGATGTATGACTTGCAAGTGTTTTCTCCTACTCAGTGTGCTGCCTTGGATGAATCTTGACTTTAAGCTGATGGTATTCAAACTTAACTTCTTTTTTTTTTTCCCATTTATTTTTATTAGTTGGAGGCTAATTACTTTACATCATTACAGTAGTTTCTGTCATACATTGAAATGAATTAGCCATGGATTTACATGTATTCCCCATTCCGGTCCCCCCTCCCACCTCCCTCTCCACCTGATCCCTCTGGGTCTTAACTTCTTTCTTTGAGTTCCTTAGATTTCACGTTTGGGCCCACACCGCTTATCTAATTGTATTCCAAGTTTCTGCATATTCCTTTAACTCCAGGAAGCTGACCTCTCATCCATCTCTCATATTTATGTTCTAATTGAGGAATTCACTTAAATTCTTTACCTTTAAAATTTTTATCCTAGAAAAAGTTGACAAAGTGTAGTGGTTTTGAAAACTGTTCTTCAATTGCTTGGCATTTCTCTCTTTGAAAGATGGGGGTCCTTCTGCTTGAATTTGAGCCAACCTTTGTGACTTGCTTGTAACCACTAGAATACAGAGGAAGTGATTCTATGTCATTTCTGAGGGTAATTCAGAAAAGACCATGTAGCTTCTACTTGGTTTTCTTGGCATGCTTTCTCTGAGGAAGACAGGTATGTAAGACATCAGACCACTTTGGGATTACCAGGCTGGAGAGGACACATAGAGGTGCTCTAGTCAGTGGCCCAGCTCAGCTCCCAACTGACAGCCTGTTTTATGGATGAACCACATGTATTTTTATCTTTTGTCTAGTTGAGCCTTCAGATGATTGAAACCCCAGATGACATCTAATTATTACTTACAACTTGATGAGAAACTCAAAGTTAGAACTGCTCAGCCAAGCCCTTCCAAGCCCAAAGATCTGGGAATTATCCTTGAATCTACACTGTCTCATATACTCCAGAACAAATCCATCAGCAAGTTCTACTGATTCTGTTTTTAAAATATATACCAATTATAACCATTTCCTACTCCCCTCTATTGCCTCTGGCCTCATCCCAGCTGCTATAATATTTTGTATTGACTCCTGTTATTCTTCATTCTTGCCTTTAATCCCAACTAAAACATGTCCTCCATCAGGCAGTTAAAATGATGTTTTTGAAATGAAAAATCATATTGTTATCACTCTACTGGTTAAAATCTTTCAGAAGCTTCCTATCAAAGCAGAATAAAATTCAGCCTTCAGCCCAGGCCCCAAAACCAAAGTTAAACAAATGGGACTACATCAGACTTAAAAAGTTCTGTACATGAAAAGATAGAAAAGCAACTTCTCTGATAATCTAGTGGCTAAGACTCTGCAGTCTCAATGTGGGGAGCACAGGTTCAAACTCTGGGCAGGGAATTAGATCCCAAAGGCTGTGACTCTGAGTTCTCATGCTGCAACTAAAGATCCCCCTTACCACAGCGAAGATCGAAGATCCCATGTGCCATAACTGAGACCTGGCTTACAACCAAATAGATGAATAAATAAATATATTTTTTTAAAAAGAGAAGAATGAAAAGGCAATGTATGTTATAGGAAAAAATTTGCAAATTACATATCCCCAAGGGGCTAGTATCCAAAATATGGGAAGTCCTATTAACATATCAGCAATTAAAGAACTGATTAAAAAATGGGCAAAGGTCTTGAATGGACAGTTACCCAAAGATGATATATAAAACATCAGGTGTGCAACACCCCAGTTATTAGAGAAATGCAAATCAAAACCATGCTGTGATACCACTTCATACTCATTAAGATAGTCACTATCAAGAAAACAAAAATAACAGGTGTTGGTGAGGACCTGGAGAAATCAGAACCCTTGTGCACTGTTGGTGGGAATGTAAAATGCTATAGCTTCTATGGAAAAAATTATGATAGCTCCTCAATTAAGTATGAAATTTCCCTATGATCTAGCAACAAAAGAATTGAAAACAGGGTGTGGAAGATATATACCCACAACCATGCTCTTAGAAGCATTATTCAAAATAGCCCAAAAGTGGAAGAAACCTAAATGTCTTTCTAAGAGATGAATAGATAGACAAAAGTGGAATATACACACAGTGGAATATTATTTGGCCTTATAAAGGGAAAAATCTTCACATGCTATAATACAGCATGTCTCATTAGTTTCCTTTGGAAAATGTCTCTTTATGTCTTTGTAAGAAGGACTTATGGTCAGTGTTCTGTTTCCTGATCTTGGTTTGACATGGTTATATAGTCACTTGGATTAATGTTCTGATAATAATTATGCTGCTGTCTATAATGGCGCTAAGCCTTTTTTCATCCTGATGGTGATTGTATGGAACAAGGACTGTGTTGGAGAAAAATACAGGATTTGATTAAATTCTTTCTTCCTTGGACTCCTTATTTCTTTGCATGGTATACATCTGCCATTTGGACATACAGTTGTCAGTGACAGAAGAAAAAGATGTCATTCTTACCATGGGGAGATAAGTCTTTTAGGGTCTATGAGAAATAAGCATGGAAGAGACAAACTATGATATATGATCAATTGTTTATTTTCCATTTTCACACTGTTCACTCTTATATTCTATATGCCCAAAGTGATTAATAAGTGCAGAATAATACAGAGTTCCAAAAGAAGGATACTTGAGGCAGGTGTTCTGATTGATATAGCAGCTTTGCTTGATGGAACAGTGACTTTGCCCTGTTGATTTCTTTAATATTTTTGATTAATATTAATCTGTACCAATCTGGAGAGGTCCAGATATGTACCTCTCAAAAGAAAAATCCTTCCTTGAACCACATCTCCCCCAATACTCATGGTTTTCCAAGTTTAACACTCCATGATATCTATTTCTTCTATTAACCAGTACTTAACCACAAAGCTCAAAGTTTCCTATAGAATAAAAAGAAATTATCACCAATGTAAAAAAATAGTGTCACTAATTTTTAAAAAATGACAACAAGAGGTAACACCCTGAAGGGGTAATGCAAATTTCCTTGAATCAAAGTTATGCCTTTGTAATAATATCCTAAACTTTGGGTTAATTACTTTATTAATATTTTATTAATACTCATTCATAATAATAGTGTCTACATGACTGTCCAAAGCCCAGCTGTTTTGGAATATAATTTGAATGGCCATAAGTTCCAGGGTGTATATTACGGACTGTTATATTGGATCTCATTAGTTCTCCTCTATATTTAGATTTGTCCCTGTTTTCCATATGACTGGAATTGTGAATGAAATTTTCAGCTGGAGAATGTCCAATCCCTAACTGTCCATAGTCATAATTGGAACTGCCATAGCTGCCATGTCTCCAAACTTGGCCTCCACCATGATTTTGGATGCTTGAGTAGAATGCAGACATTCCTTGGGAGGTCACAGTCTGATTACCTGAACCTCTTGAATGACCCTTGCTGTCACTGGATTGACTAACTCTGGATTCCCTATGTCTGCTGCTTCCAAATCCAGAGGATGTTTCTCCATGACCAGTTCCAGAGTGTCTGGAGCTGTCCCTTGACTGCTCATGGTGGCTCCCCTCTCTTTGCCCCGTGCTGGATCCTGACCTTCCGTGAACGGATTCACTGTGGCTCCCTTGGTGGGACTCTGAGTGCCTAGAACTGTCTCCTGTCTGTCCATGGACAGATCCATGTTGGTTCCTTGAGCTGGAACCAGACCTTCCACGAGTTGTCTCAGAATGCCTACCGGAATCTCTTGCATGTCCCTCACTGTCACTGGCCTGACTAACACTGGATTGTCTGTGCCTACTGCTTCCGGATACAGTGGAGGTTTGTCCATGACTGGTTCCAGCATGTCTGGAGCTGTCTCTTGACTGCTCATGGTGGCTGCCCTCTCTTTGTCCAGTGCTGGATCCTGACCTTCCATGAACAGTATCACTGTGGCTCCTTTGGTGGGACTCTGAGTGCCTAGAACTGTCTCCAGCCTGTCCATGGGCAGATCCATGTTGGTTTCTTGAGCTGGAACCAGGCCTTCCATGAGTTGTCTCAGAATGCCTACCGGAATCTCTTGCATGTCCCTCACTGTCACTGGCCTGACTAACACTGGATTGTCTGTGCCTACTGCTTCCGGATACAGTGGAGGTTTGTCCATGACTGGTTCCAGCATGTCTGGAGCTGTCTCTTGACTGCTCATGGTGGCTGCCCTCTCTTTGTCCAGTGCTGGATCCTGACCTTCCGTGAACAGTATCACTGTGGCTCCTTTGGTGGGACTCTGAGTGCCTAGAACTGTCTCTAGCCTGTCCATGGGCAGATCCATGTTGGTTTCTTGAGCTGGAACCAGGCCTTCCATGAGTTGTCACGGACTGTCTACCTGAGTCTTCTGAACGTCCTTCGCTGTCACTGGCCTGACTAACACTGGATTGACTGTGTCTACTGCTTCCGGATCCAGTGGAGGTTTGTCCATGACTGGTTCCAGCATGTCTGGAGCTGTCCCTTGACTGCTCATGGTGGCTCCGCTCTCTTTGCCCACTTCTAGATCCTGACCTTTCATGGAGAGATTCACTCTGCCTCCCTTGATGAGATGCTGAGTGCCTAGAACTGTCTCCTGTGTGACCATGGGAAGATCCCCGTTGGTTGCTTGAGCTGGAACCCGACCTTTCTTGAGCTGTCACGAACTGTCTACCTGAGTCTTCTGAATGTCCTTCATTGTCACTGGACTGACTAGCACTGGACTGCCTGTGTCTACTGCTTCCGGATCCAGCAGAGGTTTGTGCATGTTGAGTTTCAGAGTGTCTGGAGCTGTCCCTTGACTGCTCATGGTGGCTCCCCTGTCTTTGCCCAGTGTTTTTTGACCTTCCATGGACAGATTCACTGTGCGTCTCTTTTTGGGATTCTGAGTGGGTAGAACTATCTCCTGTATGAGTCAAGATAGAGTCATTTTCATTCCTTGAACTGGACCCTGATCTTCCATGTGTGATCACGGATTTACTACCTGTATCTCGTGAATGTTCTTCCGTGTCTCTGCCCTTAGTGATGTTTGACCCATAGTTTGTATTGTGACTGGATTGAAAATTCGTGGTCACTTGGTCTTCGCAAACTTGATACGAGTCATCATACTCTGATCCTATGCATTTTGCTCTTCCTTTACCTTTATTTTCATAACCACATTCTTCTTCTTTTTCTTCATATCTCCTGGTTGGGCTGACACTTGACATGTGCCTTCTTTCTTTTAGTTCAGTAGAGCTTGACCTCCTTTTCTTTTCCCTTCTTGACTCATGATGTTTTTTGCTACATCCATGTCTGTGTCCAGAGGTAGGTGAGTCACCTCCTCTTTGTTTACTTCCAGATTTAGACCCATGTCTTTTTTTTCCTCTTCCTCTTGGGCTCTTTGATCTATCTTGATTCTTTCCATCACTTCTTCTTGAATGACTGTGCTTTCTTTTTGTTTCTTCCTTGTCTTCTTCTGTATCATCTTCTTCATCTTCATAGTGGTATGTATACTTTTTCTGTTTTTGTCCTGCTGTCTCTAAATTGTGTCTTTGAGTATAATCATAATATGCTTGAGCCAATTTGAATACCATCAGAAAAAACTCTGTAAAGTCTATTTTCTTGTTGTGATCTACATCGAGGATATGCATGAAAACTTCAGTGGTGTCTGGGTCATCAGGATTCTGTAAACAGGGAAGACAGGGAGAGTACATGAGAGTGACTGACGTGGAAGATTAAATAATTAAAGTGAACTTTGGAAATGTGAATTCTTGCTATATAAAAGTAGAACCTAATGTTTTCTTTAATAACGTTTGTTTTATCTTGACTTAGTAAAGAGATGTCTGTACTGTCCTAAAAGACTTAAATCTTAAATGCTAGTGTGGTGACACAAAAAATTTGATGGGACATGTTCTTCTTTTAATTCTTCAAATGTCAGCATTTTATGAATTTTCTCAAAGGAATTATCTTTTAGACATACCCTCTTTACATTCTTGAAATTAGGGGGAATATTATGATAAGTTAACTTTTGTTTACTTCTTTTTAACTAAATATTTATGTTTTTCCATAGACAATGTGTGTGTGTAATAGATCTAGAGGTATAAAGAGCTGAACAAATTTTATCTGTTTTGAAATAAAATTATGTTTGTTCTTATTCTAAGAGAAACAACTCATAAAGATTTCACAGTAATATTTTGACATTTTTTGGTGCAGAACAAAAATGATATACCATTTTATCTGGCAAATAACTTTTACCTTCAAGATGGGCCGAAACTCCAATTCCAGAAGTTCCTTCAGCTCTTTTTCACTCAATGTGTCAGTCTCCTTATCTGTTTTTGAATATTTGTGAAATATTTCGATGATGCCATTGATGTTTTCCAGGAGAGTCGACATCTTTTGGAACTATAGGTGAACCTAGAAAGAAGTTAAAATGTACATTTATTTCTTTTATTTTGTAGGTCATATCAATTATTATAATAAATTTTCACATTTATAAACCTAAATCTTTTCCTAGGTAGTCCAGCTTTAAAAATGGAAGATGGCCATGAAAAACTTCTATCCATTATCTACATGATGAATATCAACACAGAGTTTGACTGGACTGCCAACATTTTAGCCTTGATCTCTTTTTTTTTCACATCAAACTACTCTTTTATTTGCGTGCCTAGAATTCATAAGTCATAAAATATCAAAATATCTCTCAAAACTCACTTTTCTTTTTTGCTTTTTTACTCAATAGCTTTATTTTTTTTTAATTTATTTATTTTAATTGGAGGCTAATTCCTTTACAACACTGCAGTGGTTTTTGCCATACATTGACATGAATCAGCCATGGGTTTACATATGTTCCCCATCCTGATCCTCCCTCCCCATCTCATCCGTCAGGGTCATCCCAGTGCAACAGCCCTGAGCACCCTGCCTCCTGCATCGAACCTGGACTGGCGATCTGTTTCACATATGATAATATACATGCTTCAATGCTATTCTCTCAGATCATCCCACCCTCACCTTCTCCTACAGAGTCCAAAAGACTGTTCCATACATCTGTGTCTCTTTTGCTGTCTCACATATAGGGTTATTGTTACCATCTTTCTAAATTCCATATATATGCATTAGTGTATAGTATTGGTGCCTTTCACATTGGAATTTAGATATTCTCACAGACCTTTGGCAAAAGCTGCAATAGATTCTTCCTTTCCTTTATCTCAGAAGATGACATTGCATTTTCTTTCACTGAAAACTTGCTCTCTATTAGGAAAGAATTTCATTTTTCCAGCATCTGTTCATCCAGCCTATTGAATTTGTATCCACATACTTTAACCTTCACTACTGTTTTGTGGATAAATTGTCCTTCTGTCCTTTATTTTGGCACAGGATCTCACTCTCTCTTGCCTATTCAAACAATTTGCTTTTGTAGTTAGTAGTTATTCACTTTTTCTCCTACCTTATCAATTTCTTTTTTTTTTCTGAAACATTCACTACAGCATGTGTTCATGCTGAAATGTCTCTTATTTAAATCCCCTCCCTCATCCTACATCTCCCTTTATGCACCATTTATTTTTTCTCTACTATACCGAAACCCATTCCAAGATATACCTGTATTTTTTCTTCACTTTCTATTTTCTTTTATTCAGGTTATCTTTCTGTCTCAAAAATCCACTGAAGCTCTCATGATGATTTAAAAGATGCCCTTTATCTTACTATGTCCAACTATCCATTTTCATTTCACATATGCTTCATGTATCAACAGCATTTGATGCAGGTGGTTACATCCTCCTTCAGAGACCCCATTCTCTTTAGTTTTTTCTTTTGACCTCATTGCCTATTTTTCTTGGTCTCCTATTACAGGCTCTAATGTTGATGTGCCTGAGATTGAGTCCTTAGTTCCTTTTCTGTACTTTATCCTCCCTTGGGCAGAGTGGAGGGGTCTCAACTGGCTGTGTAACTTTAAATCCTATGTATAGGTTGACAACTCTGAAATTTATATATTCAGCCATAAAGTCTCCTCTAAGCTTGACATATGTATGTCTAAGTACCTATCAAATATTTCTGCTTTGGCCTTGAACAATATTTCCCCCACCACCAAGATGTTCCACTCCATCCAGTTCTCCTAGTGAATGGTTTACTTTCTCAGCAAAGAGTCTTCAAAGAGTTTTCTGTGCTTCCCCTCATTTTATGTTTACCACTCATTTAAAATCAGTTCTCTCAATTTTTTGTCTCCAAACTTGAAACTGATTTGTGTTAAATAACCTATGGTCTATATTGCTAAATACAGTGGTCAGTTGTTCGTCTTCCTCATCTTACTCACTGGCTTAGGGGTGTGGAATTGCTCATTCCCTTTTTCATGGAAGTTTTGGTTGTTTGTTTCTTGGATCTTAACAGTGCATTCTCCTTATATACCTCTAATCTATCAGCTGCTCTTTCTCAATATTCTTTACTAATCTCTCATCTTTTGCTTCATTTCAAAACGTTGGAAAATCCCCATGGCTTATGTCCTTGACCTTCTCTTTTAAAATATATCTATTCACTGAAATCTCATTGGACCTCTTGACTTCAGATACTATCTAATTTACTTCCAGACTGATACCTCCAAGCATGACCTTACCTTTCTTTGATTTCTACACTCACTCATTCATACCTTAATTTATTTAACAAATATTCAACACCTACTACAGGATTAGCTAATATTTTATGCTCTGGGGATATAATAATAAACAAGATGAATGAAGTACCTATTCTTCTGAAGACAATAAACAAATGAATGGAGAAATTAGATATTGAGAAGTGATATGCATACCGTTAAAATAAGAATGGTGCTATTAATATATAGAATTGTTTTGAGGGATGTGCTTTAGATTGATCAGAGGAGATTTTGTGTTAAAAAAGGATATTTGAGCTTAAAATAGAAAAATAAGAAGGAACTAACCTTGTTGATTAGTTGAAGAATTTTAGGTAAAAGGAACAGTTCAGGGATCTGAATGTGGGAGTCAACTTGGAAGGTTAATGATATAGAAAAAATACCAATTCCAGAACAAATCAGGAGTAATACAACTTAAAGTCAGATTTACAGACAGGGGTTAGAAAATGATTATCTTCTAAATAGGGTAACATTTGTGCTTTTTATTGTAGGTGCGATGGGAAGTCACTAAATGATTTTTTTTTTTTTTTGGAAACAGAGCAATCTGATTCAGTTTTTAAAGGATCAATTTGTAGAATCACTAATTAGGGTTCTTTCAGAGTAAAATTCTTTTAAGAACAACTGGAAAGTTGGTGTTTATGTGTGTGTGTGTAGGTATCATAACACTATCAAAACTGTGACAATTTGTTGAAGCTTACATTCAGATTGGAAGGGAACTACAGTAATTTGGGGAGTTAAATAACTGCAATTATTAAAAACTGGTGGAAGATATCAAGCCACAGATTCAAGACATATTATCAACTCCAGGCAGATATATAAAAGAAAACAATACCTAGACACATAATAAAAAATGTCTGAACACTTAAGACAATGAGGAAATCTTAAAACCAGCCAGAGAAAAAGCATATTATCTTCAAAAAACCAACTACTGACTTTTCAAAAGAAATAATGGAAGCCAGGAGACAGTGAAATGTTTTTCTTATCTTCCTGTAGGAAAGTAAGTTCTACCCTAGAATTCTATACCCACTGAAAGTATACATGAAGAAGAAAGCTTAAGTAAGGATATTTTCAAGCAAACAAAGCAGATTTACCTTACACCATAAGATTTACTCTAATAGAAATATTAAAGAATGATCCTAGTCAGAAGCACAGAGAGGTAGGAAAGAATGAAGAAAAAGTCAAAAGTGTAAGTATAGGGAAAATCTAAATGAATAGTGATGGAAAAAACAGCAATAATAATATCTTTCACAATTCATGATAATGCATAACTATCATAAATAAGGTTGGAAAGGGTAAATAGAGTTCAGGTACTATAGGATACTTGGATTGTTGGAGTAAAGTATTGGCAGTGTTAAAGTATTTTTTTTAATAATATACTCTAATAAGTCCAAGGGTAGGTGTTGTGTTGTAATGTCTAAGGTAAGCATGAAAAGACCAGTAAAAGGATATGTAATTAAAAAGCTGATATGACAAAAATTAACTGACGAATATGTAATTCATCCAAAAAAGTTAGAAAAGAGAAAAAGAAATGTAAAACAGGTAGGATATTAGAAACCAAGTAGTAATATGGTGGATTTAAACCAAATAGATTTAAGCAGTAATGATACTGAATAAGAATGGACTAAATACTGTAACTTAGAAACAAAGATTGTCAGACTAGATGGGAAAAAAAGTACATACTATCTATAGGAGACACACTTAAGTCTGATATATGTTGGAAAAAGATGTTATTCAAATGTTAAAGGAGAGCTATTGTTTTTGCTATATTAACATCTGTAGAGTAGACTTTAAGACAAAAGTATAACTAGAAGATATTTCATAACAATAAATGGCTAGTTCATGAGGAAGATATAACAATTCAAATTGATATGTACTTAATAACATAGCCTCATAATATGTACAACAAAAAAATGACAGAATTATAAGGACAAATTGACAAATCTATAATTATAGTAGGTAACATACTTCTCTCAGCAACTGATAGAACAAGTAAACAAAAATATTATAAGGCTATAGAAGAGTTCCACAAAATTCATAAGACAGTAACTAATATATATTGAACACTGTATCTAACAAATACAACATACACTTCCTACTGAAATGAATATGAGACTTCTGAAAATTTACTATATGCTTATCATAAAGAAAATTTCAACAAATTTTAAAGGATTAAAATCATGCATAATTTGTTTTGTACCACAGTGGAATGAAGCTAGATTTCAATGATAGAAAGAAACATACAAAAATCTCCACAAATGTTTGGAAATTAAGCAGTAACTTCTAAATAACAAATAGGTCATAGAATACATTGCAGTGTAAATTAGAAAATATTTTGAGCTAAATACAAATGAGAAAAATATGAAATAGCAAAACTTGTAGGATACAGTCACTCCATACCTAATGAAAAATTTATAGTTTTATTACATATATTAGAAAAGAAAGGCTGAAAAATCAATAACCTAACCATATATGTTACGAAGTTTGGAGAAGAACAACAAATTCAGTCCAAAGAAAGTATAATAAAGATAAAAACTGATATTAATGAAATAGGAAACAAATTTAGAGAATCAAAAAGCCAAGATATTTGAAAAATTGATAAAACTGAGAAACTCTGAATAAATAAGAAAAGAGGAGAAAGGCATAGGTAATCAATATCAGGAAAATAAAAGGGGATATTGTCTTAGATTTTACAGGTACTAGAAAGATAAGTGCATATTATAAACTTTATAGAAAAATTTTGAAAGTTTAAATGAAGTGGACATATTTCTAGAAAAATGCTTCCTATGCAAATGTAAACAACAGGAAGTATTCCATATTGAGGGAAGGGGTGACTACAAATCAGCTGGCTTTACTAGTGAATTTTGTTTAATGTGTAAGAAATAAATAACTCTAATACCACAGATTGTTTCAGGGAAATTAAAAAAGGAGAATACTGATTTTATGAATCCAACATAACCTCAGTACCCATAACCTGACAAGGATATTACAAGAAACAAAGTTTTGAGGAGAATTTCCTTTATGAATATAGATGCAAAAATCTGAAAGAAAATATTAAACTGAATCTAGTATTGTACAAAAAGAATATGCATTATACTTAAGAAAGTTTCACTCCAAAGATCATGTTTGTTTTAATATATGAGAACTGATAAAATACTGGGAAAACAGCTTTTTTGAACCTCTTAATAGATGGAAAAAACATTTGATAAAACCCCTACAATGGACATGCAAATTAAAGCTTAGCATATTCCTGGCTCAATTTTTCTCATTCCAATAGAATCTGAAAATTCTGGCAGTGAATGAATAAAATGCATTATAAGGAAGTAATTATAATAAAAATATGTTCTTGTCCATAAAAAAGTCCAACATTAATTTTTATTTATAAATATGAATTGTACTTACGATGGTACAATTAGGGCTTCCCTGATAGCTCAGTTGGTAAAGAATCCACCTGCAATGCAGGAGACCCTGGTTGGATTCCTGTGTTGGAAAGATCCACTGGAGAAAGGGAAGGCTACCCTCTTCAGTATTCTGGCCTGGAGAATTCCATGGACTCTATAGTCCATGGGGTCAGAAAGAGTCGGATAGGACCGAACGATTTTCACTTTCACTTTCACCTTGATGGTACTATAGTAAACAGCATACTTAATGGTTACATGCTGAAAACTTTTCTTGCTCAGTTTTTGGATGAGATCAGTACACCTGCTAATATATGCAACATTGTTTTGAAGTTCCTAGGTAGAGCAAAAATTAAGACAAAGAATGAAAAACAGAATAATTGAAAATGAAGTAAGAAAACTGCCGTTACTGAAGAATGATGTGGCTTCCATATGTTGAAATTTTAAAAAAATGTATAAGCTACTAGAATAAATAAAATTAACAATGTTGCTGGATACAAGATAAATATACAAAATTCATTTGTATTTCTATACAAAACCAAGAAACAGAAATTTAAATAAGGAATGATGCTATTTACAAAAGTGTATAAAAAGTCAGGGAATTGCTAGAAGTTAAATCTAACAAAGGTTTAATCTCAAAGAAAGTCAATGCCAAAGAATGCTCAAACTACCAGACAATTGCACTCATCTCACACACTAGCAAAGTAATGCTTAAACTTCTCCAAGCCAGGCTTCAATAGTACATGAACCCAGAACTTCCAGATGTTCAAGCTGGATTTAGAAAAGGCAGAGGAACCAGAGATCAAATTGCCAACATCTGTTAGATCATTGAAAAAGCAAGAGAGTTCCAGAAAAAACATCTACTTCTGCTTTATTGACTATGCCAAAGCCTTTGACTGTGTGGATCACAAGAAACCGTGGAANAGTCCTGAATATTCATTGGAAGGACTGATGCTGAAGCTGAAACTCCAATACTTTGGCCACCTGATATGAAGAGCTGACTTATTTGAAAAGACCCTGGTGCTGGGAAAGATGGAAGGTGGGAGGAGAAGGGGATGACAGAGGATGACATGGATGGCATCATTGACACAATGGACATGAGTTTGAGTAAACTCTGGGAGTTGGTGATGGACAGGGAGGCCTGGTGTGCTGCAGTCCATGGCATTGCAAAGAGTCAGACACAACGGAGCGACTGCACTGAACTGAAATCTAACAAAAGATATGAAATATATGAACTAAGAAAATTATAAGCATTATTGAGACTAATTTAAAAAGATATGGATAAATGGAAGATTGTGCCTTGTTTGTGTGTTGAAAGTGTCAATGTTGTCAAGATGTTAGATCTCCCCAAACTCATTTTTACGTGCAATAAAATTTCATTCAGAATCTGAAAATTTTTTTCTTTTTAAAACAATTTTTTCATTTATTTTTATTAGTTGGAGGCTAATTACTTTATAATATTGTAGTGGTTTTTGTCATACATTGACATGAATCAGCCATGGATTTACATGTATTCCCCATCCTGATCCCCACTCCCACCTCCCTTTCTACCCGATTCCTCTGGGTTTTCCCAGTGCACCAGGCCCAAGTACTTGTCTCATGCATCCAGCCTGGGCTTGTGATCTGTTTCATTGGTAAGGCAGTGTCTGAAATTTATATTAAAATGTGGGGGTCCAGGATTAGCCAGAACAACACTGAAGAAGACCAACTTTGTGGACATATTGGATGTTAAGTGTATTATAAAAGAAGACAGCATGACACTGATGCAACATTAAACAAATAGGTAAGTGAAAGATCTTATATATCATTATGCACATTTAATTTATGAAAAAGGTTGTTATGAGAGTTGGCAGGGAAAGTATGGTCTTTGAATAAATGGTGCTGGGTTAATTGAATTCCCATATGGAAAAATGAATTTCTTCTCAGGTGGATTTTACATGTGAAAGATAAAGGGGACTGAACTTCAGTGGCTAAGACTCCACACTCCCAATGCAGGGGGCACAGGTTCAGTTCTGGTCAGGGAACTGGATCCCACGTGCTGCAACTAAAAGATCCCACATGCCACAACAAAGATCAAAGACCCCATGTGCTGCAACTAAGACCCGGCACAGCCAAACAAATAAATGAATATTTTTTAAAAAAGAGTGATTATTTGCCTCCAAGTCTAACATACTCTTTAAAGAAAGGTGAAGGAGATAACATAGGAGAATATTTTCAAGAACTTGGGGTAGAGACATACTTCTTAAAGAGAACTTAAAACATATTAATGATAAAGAACAAAATTGATAAATTGGAGTGCATTAAAAATAGGAATGTCTGTTTATTCAAAGACTCTTAAGAAGAGAAGGAAAGCAATTGAGTGAAAGAATATATGCAACATTTAACCAATAAAGGGCTCTGTCCTGAATATATAATAACTACTCTAAATCAATACAAGAAATATGGATGGCCCCATAGCAAAATGGTTAGATAGTATGAGAGCTTTGCAAAATAGGATATACAAATGTCTAATAAACACAAAAAGTTCTCAATTTTGTTAATTGTCAGGGAGCTACAAGTTAAAATTAACAGTGTGAGACTACAACACCCCCACCAAAATGACTAAAAAGACAAAAAGAAAAAAAGAATACTAATTCCACCTATTGGTGAAGATATGGAGAAACTGGGTGTTTCATACACTCCTAGAAGGAGCATAAGCTGGCAGAAATACTTTCAAGAATTGTTTGATAATACCTAAGACCAGCAATTTACTCCTAGGAATATCCTCAATGGAAATATATACACATTTGTAACCAAAAATCATGAACAAAAATGTTCATAGCTCCATTATTTATAATATCTCCCCAAAGGAAAACAACCCAAATATCTATCAATAAAAATGAATAAATAATTTGTGGCATTTTCATATAATAGAGGTGGAATGAAGGGATAGCCTAGATTAGATGGTAGTGTGAATAGGAGGACAGATGGACTGGCATGTTTTACAGTCAGAGTTGGCTGATCAGAGAGAATAATCAGTGTAGTGTAAAGCAGAGAATGGAGACATGCGTAGCTTCTAGACTTGTGTTTGAACAAATTACCCCATCATCTCTCATCTAAACTGCAGTCCATCTCCTTTCTCCCACCATTGCCTATGATCCTATTTTCCATATACCAGCTCAGAGTGATCTTGTTACTCTTCCTGCTTAATACTCTCCAGTGGCTTCTCATCGACTTCAAATAATGTACAAACTCTACCGTGCCCCTCTTTACATGGCCTGACTAGTTCTGTGACTCACTATATACCACTGTTCCTCGTGTTAAACATGCTCTAGGCACCTAAGCATCTTTATGTCCTTTAAAGGGTTTACTACTGCTTTAGAATCCTTTTGTTTGCCTTTCTTCAGTCATTAATATCTCTGCTCAAAAGATAATTCCCCAAACAGTCCTTTCCTAACCCTTCAATCTCAAGTACCATCCTATTACTTTACTGTATCACTGTCTTATTTTCTTCATTGTTCTTATCACTGTTTGAATTTTTATTCATTTCTTGTTGACTGAATGTCTTCTCCTGCTAAGTTTATGTTGTTCATTGCCGCATAATCAGCCAAGAGTAGCATATGGCAAATAGAAGGTAGTTCATACATATTTGTTCAGTGAATGGGTAAATAGATAAACAAACAATATTAAGAAAGTAGCCAGGTGGAAAGCAAATTTATGCCCTCATTTTCCTTCTGTGTCAAAATAAACTTTTAGTAACATAACGACTAAAAATAAAGGACCCCAAACATCCAGAACTTTTGGCCTGAGACCACATGTACAACCAGATCTCCACCTTGCTTAAGAACAAGTAAACAAGGTGAGATTTAGTCCCTCTTACTTACTTCCTTCCTTCACCAGAAGAGCAAGGAGATTGTAGCCTGGAGGAGCTTGCTGGGTACTGAAATCTGGGATCATGGCCTTTTTATAGTAGGTTCATCCAGGGAGGAGCCGTCCTCTGTAGGATGGTCTGATTCATTCCTAACCAAACTCAGATCCACCCATATCTCCACCTCTATTTCTCTAGTGACCTGTTTACTTCCCAACTTGCTCACTTATTCATCTGTACTTGTTTTACCAAGTTACAATTTAGGTTTACATCATTCCTGTGCATACTGTAGATTTCATGGAAGATTCCCTTTGGCTAGCATAGGTTCTTTGTGTGCAGGGTCCACACCTTCTGGGTTTTGTTGTTGTTGTTATTACCCCCACTTTGAATGGTAGATGCTTGATAAATATCTACTGATAAGTGTGCTTCCTTATCCTTGTCTCTAGAGGAGTAGTAGAGTATACATTTTTGAAAAAATTAAATTTGGCTTATATTTAAGCCAATGTTACATGCATCTACTTACAGGTCCCTTTTTTATTAATAAATTCCATCTCTGAATCCTGAGAGAATTTGCCATGATGAATGTTGATCTTCTACAAAGTGTAATGAATCCAGAGAAGATAGGCAAATTTAATTTTGATTTTTCAAAAGAGAACAAGAAAGTGGGCTCTTGAATTAGAAGCAGTGATCACTAGGAGGTGGCAAGAACTTATTGGATAAGAATCATTAGTCTTATTTTCAAGGTTGTTAATTGGAGTATCAGAGACATGTTCTACCTACTCTTCCTGTGGAATAAGCTGTGACTTTTCTCATTGACCTCATAAATATACAGGAGATGCCTATCCTTGGCCTCTCTCTTTATTCCCAGACTGTATATTGAACAGATTACATTTCCATTTGGATGTCCCCCTGTATCTCAGTCCATACTATTCAAACTGAATTAATTATCATGCCTTGTACCAAAATATGCCATCTTCCAGGTTGAGGAGGATGAGACCACATGTACATCCAGATCTCCACCTTGCTTAGGAACAAGTAGACAAGGTGAAATGTATTCCCTTTTATTTCCTTCCTTCACCAGAAGAGCAAGGAGATGGTAGCCTGGAGGAGCTTGCTGGGTTCTGAAGTCTGGGATCATGGCCCATGTTACATGCCAATGTTACAATCACCTACCACAGGTCCCTTTTTATTAATAAATTCCACCTTTTAATCCTGAGAGAACTTACCTGACATCTCTATGTGCTGAGTGTCTAAAGCCCCACAGAGTCATTTTCCATTTCTCTCTCTCTTTAGCCCTCATGTCATGTCATGATGTGTCACTTCTATATGAAGGTCTATTATGCAGACCTTTATCTCTAGTGTGGCAATCTCAGTTCTAGGCCTCACCATCTTTTGACTGGACATTAGTAAAAAGTGTTATAACCAACCCTTCCACTGTTAGCCTTCTTGATTCATCTTTTACTCTTATCGTTTTTCTCTTATACTTTACTCTTTCTTCTACTTGCCTGGAGAATTCCAAATTTCTTTACCGGACATATAAGCCCCTTCACAGTAGTAAAGAATCTGTATCCTTTTAGCTACTTCTCTTATCACCTGCATTTTATGGGAAAGTCACTCTATACTGATCCATATTCCTTGCATAACCTTTTAATAGTCTACTACTATTCAGAATCTCTATATGCTGTCTTTACTACTGGGGAGTCCCTCAACCTTAGCTTCTTTTCATTCTTTAAGCCTCTCCAGAATCACCACCTCCTTCATAAAGCCTCACCTTACATCTCCAGGTAAATCACTGTCCTCTCATATACTCTATATTAATCTCCCTTATAGCACTGATGATACTTTAATTACTTATGTATCTGTAGTGCCCAGTGCCCTATTTTGCATTTCTTCTCATTCTGGTATTGACTGGGTCTTGAATCATCTTTTGTATTCTTGGACCCTGTAACAGTTCCTGAGATATGATCAAATAAATGCATGGGTGCGATGTTTGGCAGGGGTTGGGGGGTGGGGTGAGGAGATGATCTTGTTTAGAGTTGGTGAGGTATGCGTATGTCCGAGCTTTAAAATCTTTGTTTAATGCCCTCATTTTCTTTCCTTTTGTGAAACATTAGTAGTTAACATCCACAGAACATAGATCTTCATTTTCTTCTCTTTTCTTCTTAGGTTTATCTTTTTGTGCCAGGAGCTACTGTCTGTCTCTCACCAGGATAATAATAGTCATAATCTATACTGTATGTCCATTCAGTATGTGCCAAGAATGTGCTAGGATTTTGTATATATTTCTTCTAATCTTCAGAAACAATCCTGTGAGGTCATTATTATCATCCCTAATTTTGAGATGAGGGAACTGATAGTGATAGGGAGAAGATTACCCAGCGTGTAAGTTACAGAACCAGGATTCAATTCTAGGTCATTTTGACTCCAACTTCCACATTATTTCCCGTACACCACATTACTCTAGGAGTGAACTTTTCTCCTTTTTAAAAAGACATTTTTATATTTTTGGCACTTGAAACGGTAGTTTCTTTCAAAGTATCCTATGTCCTGGGTGACCTTAATGGTGGAAATCGTTGCAGGGGCAGAAGTGAATGAGCTGAGAAAAGTGGAGTCAGAGAGTGGCAATGCTGGGGCAATCTAGGCTGCAATGTTTTAATGATCAGAGGACATAAATCTTACCGTTTCTTATCCACATAGAGGACAATCCTAGTAGTTGGCTCCAGGACTGTTTTCTTGACCATGTTATGATCATTATATTCTTATCAGTAACCTGGATGAAAATTTGGGCAGAGGGACTTCCCTGGTGGTGCAGTGGTTAAGATTCTGTGCTTCCATTGCAGGGGGCATGATTTGATCCTTGGTTTCAGAATTAATATCCCCCATGCTGTGTGGTACAGTCAAAAAACAGAAAAAGAAAAGAAAATGTAGAAGATGTCAAGTATTTTTAGGAGAGACTGAAGATCCAAGGAGATTTTAGCATATCACGTAAGTAGCTCAAATCTAATAAAATTGAATCTTACTGAATTAAAAGTAAAATTCTGACTTTGGTTCTAAATTCAACTTTGCAAGTACAGGGTAGAAGCCATGAGTAAAAGAAGGGGTATTGTGGCAGTGGTGGTGTGATGTAGTAGCCCAAAAGGTAATGCTATTTCAGGATGCATTAAGAAAAGTAAATTAACTAGAACAAAATAAGTGGTGGTGTCCTTCAGTTGGCCATTGTCAGATGGTTTCTCTAGCTTTTCATTCAGTTCTGACACTCACTTCTCAATACGGATATGGACAACTTGTTATGTGTTCTGAGTCAAGTAAGTAGATGATTGGCCAGATGGATGGTAAAGGGAACAAGGGCTTTCCAGGTATCTTAGTAGTGAAGAATCCACTTGTCAATGAAGGAGCCTCAGGTTTGATCCCTGGGTCAGAAAGAACCCCTGGAGAAGGAAATGGCAGTCCACTCCAGTATTCTTGTCTGGGAAATCCCATTGGCAGAGGAACCTGGTGGGACTATGGTCCATGGGGTCACAAAAGAGTTGAACATGACTTAGCAACTAAACAACAACAACAAAGGGAACAAAGTAAGAAGCAGCTGGTGGGAGAAGATTATCTGCTTGTTGTATAAAAACTCAGATTGGTAGAAAGCATAGGCAAATGTACTTTGACTTTGAATAAGTAAGAACATTTTAATAGTCAGAATTGTCCAGTCGCAAAAAGAATTATCTCTGGAGATAATTCCCTATCACTGCCTAGAGAATGTTGAATTGAATGAATTGTTGGCAGTCAATTAGTCTAGGCTCCTCATATTGTGGTTGACAATTAGGAAGGCCAATGCTGCATGGCTGATAAATCAACAATTCAGGACTCAGGCCTGCACTCAGATTTTTCCCTCAAAATGCACTTCGTATTGCACAGGTTGCATCTATTACTGGGAGATGAGCATCAGACAAGGATATTTTGGAGTGTCATTAAGTAGAGGAACATTTGGAGGATGTGTGATAAATCCCTCTTTCCATGTGAGAGCTATGATTCTGTTATTCATGTAAATTTCTTTGCCTGACTTGATTCAACTCAGCTCAGATGCCTGTTTGATCAGTGCAGTTTACTAACTGCAGGCATAATAGGACTATCAATTCCACTTTATGTGCAATTCCCACTACATCCTATGTATATGGTATATGTTTCCATATTCCACTTCCTGCCAACATGCCTGGTCCCTCTTGCACCTTAGCTTTTTATCTTTAGAATGCCAAGAATCTTTACCCCCCAAATCTTTAAAATTACTGACCAAGGAATAATGCAGTCTGAGATGTAGGGCTATTCTCAGACAGAACTTAACTCTTTGCCTCATTGTTCCCAGACAATGAAATGCTTTCAGAGGCATTTTAGGTGTCCACAGTTACATCTTCTGGCTGCCAAGAGTTATTAAGGTATGAAGACAATCCCCAAATGTCAAAGGTTATTGACAAATAAGAAATTACAGGATTTCAGTTGCAATCATTCATTTGTGGTCGTCCCTCCCTTTTCCTATCCAATGGGCTAGAAGGGCATTATGCTGCCATACGGCCTGTGGGCTGCTGATGTGGGTCAAGCTGTCACGATTCAAGGGAGCAGTCCTTTGAAATGTGTGACTGAGGCTGTAGGAGTGAAGAGGAGTTGGGATTTGTAGTTAAGTGATTTCCTATTGGAACTGTAGTCATCTCCTGGGAGGTGCTATTTTGGGGATGGAATTTTTCCTGGTTGAATATTCTCTTGGGTTCCTTGGCATATTGTAGGTGATGTTCCTGCTTAGCTATCTGGTGGTGGAGCAATATCTGGTAGGAACACCTCTACCTATAGCTGGGATTTATCAGGACAATAGTGAAGAAAAGTAGTGTTGATTCCAAGGAAAGATTTCAAGTTGTCCTCAGTGATTTCAGCTTCTTATGTAATATTGTGTGTGTGTGTGTGTGTGTGTGTGTGTGTGTGTAAAGGAAAGATAAAGAGAGGGGGAGAGAGAAATGTTGTAGGTGGAGTGAAAGTAAGGATGAGCTTTTTCTATATATAAGCATGCTATTTTATGCCAATCTGGATTGCCTCTCAGTTTTTAAAATACCCAACATAGTAATTGGGCAAGAGAGTTCCAGAAAAACATCTACTTCTGCTTTATTGACTATGCCAAAGCCTTTGACTGTGTGGATCACAACAAACTGTGGAAAATTCTTAAAGAGATGGGAATACCAGACCACCTGATCTGCCTCCTGAGAAATCTGTATGCAGGTCAGGAAACAAGAGTTAGAACTGAACATGGAACAACAGACTGGTTCCAAATTGGGAAAGGAG